CCAATCAGCAGACAGCCAAGTGACACTGTGGACCAATCAGTAGGAAGCCAAGTGCTAGTGTGGACCAATCATCAGAGAACTGTCATCCTGAGACAATCAGGAAAAATCCAACACCAGGCAGGTCATTGGGAGAGAGCCCAGCACCAGATGGGCTATCAAGGGAGAGGCTCTGAGCCCCTTGTGGTCCCTTCACAGGCTCAGGGACAGGTCACAGTGGGGAGAAGGAGGAGATGGGGGAAGGACAGATGGACATGCAGGATTCCAAAGGGCCCAAGTAAGGGCTTCTGGAGCTCTGGGCCCAGCAAGTAGGCATGGCCAGGTAGAGGTAGCCCCTGCCCCTGTAGGACATGTTCCCCAGCCACAAACAATCCGTAGTGCCCAAATCCACCCAGAGCTGGGCCACAGATGCTGAGGCCCAAGTCAGGAAGGACATAGGCCTCACAGAGACTAGGTTGCCCCAGGAGCCTTAGAGTTACCACCCTTCCTCCATTCACCCAGCCCTAGCAGAACCCACCTGTGACATCCAGGCAGAAGGAGACCCTCTGGCCCCCGGCCTCCAAGCTGTACTCCCCAGCATCCGCCTTGGCTGCCTGCTGCACCACCAGCTGCTGCCTACAGCCAGAGGCCTCCACGTGCACCTGGGAGCTCTGGCTCAGCTTCTTCTCATCCTTGTACCATGTCACCTCTGTCTGGGCCTGGGCCACCTCGCAGCTCAGAGTGGCACTTGTCCTTGCCTGGGCCTTCACCTCACTGTGTGTCAGCTGTCCCTTGGCAAACACAGCCTTGGGCTCTGAGGACACACTGGGAGTGATGTTGGTTGTGAGCCCCACCCAAACCTCTGGTTTCTGATTAATAGGCTCTGGACCCCGAGCTAACAGAGCCTGCCATGTGGATCCCTCAGGATACATTTTCCTAAGCAAAGTGGGAGGGGATGCCCCTCCCCATGAGACCCTGGTGTGCACAGGAAAGTCACAGGACAGACCTTGCAAAAATCGCCAAGATGTCCTTTATAAGCCCAGAGAACGTCTTTCTTGTGCCCAAACTCCTGCCCACCTCCATAGCACACTTCCCACAGATTGAGTTTGCTCCAGTAGGGAAACCTGACAGTACCTGCCTTCAGCTCTGCATACAGCCAACCATCCTCTGGCAGTGACACCTGGCTGTGACTTCTAGTGTGAAGCGTCCAATGCTTGCCTCTAGAGCTGGTGTGCGACTGGCATTTGTAGAGCCTCCCTATCCCTGGGTCCACAAGCTGCACCCGGCCTGGGGTAGCCCAGGCTGGGAACCAGAGCCCATCATGGCCACACTGGAGCAAGCCCTCCTGGGGTGGGCTGCCCCAACAGCCTCACAGAGGCCTAAGAATCCCTTGTGCATTTGTCGCTGAACTTCCAGCCTATATCTCTTAGCCCTGGGAGCTTCTAGAAAGGTCATGGCCGTGGTCAGACCCACCAGACTGAAATCTCAACCTCAGAGGACACTTCACATATCTGTGGGTCCCCTCAGCCCTGGGTTTAAATGGAAAAGGAGGGATTCAAAATCTTGTGAGCTTCCCAGCCAGAGCCCAGCCCACAAGCACAGAGTAAGCAAGAGGCTTTCAGGACTGCAGAGTGGCCCCCTGCAGGGCAGGCACAATGGGCAGTGAAGGTTCAGGCAGAGGAAACACTCTCCCAAAGCTGGGATAGAGTTCATCCTTTGTTCCTAAATTTCCTTCCTGGTACTTTCTTTTCCATGTTTGGATCCTTTAACCTTCTAAGCATTAGTTTGGCATTTTATTTTATTTTCCCAAACAGGGAAGAAGCTGCCCCCAACCACTGGCTCAATAA